GGGGCCGGGCCGGGGCGGGCAGGGGCGCGCCCAGACGCGGGGCGGGGGCAGGGGGGCCGGCCCCGCCCTTCCCTCCTCCCTCCCTTTCCTGCCGACCCCGCGGTGGCCGGCCCTTGGAGCCGGGTGTTGGGGGCCCCCTCCACCCCATCTACTGTCTCCAAACCTCCCCCTTTGCCCGCACTCCCGAAGCCGGCCAGTGCTGGGCGCCTGCTTCCCCGGAGACTCAAAGGAGTTTCCATCTAGAAGGAACCTCGAGCCGTTTTACAGGTTGGGGAACCGTGACCCACGATGAGAAAGGATCGGCCCAAGGTCCTAAAGCAAATTAGAGCCCGAAGCCTAGTCTCCAGCTCTCCTGACCCCTACCCCGTCCCTGGCTCCACATCAGACACGGGTTCCCCACCAACCAGACAGACCTTTCCTCAACCTGACCATGATCCTATTTCAGGAACTATGAATGAGGAGCCCAGGTCCCCAGCGTTCCGAGGAGTAAAGTGTCAGGGCGGGGTGCCGGAGCCCTGCTCCTGACTGAGAAGTGACCCTGTTGGGTGAGGAGAGAGAAGTGGAGTCATCCTCCGGCTGACGTCCTGGGGGGTCACAGGGCGCATTTGGTTCATCGGATGAGCAGGTTCCTGTCTTCAGGGCAGGGAGCTCACACTACCTTTTGAAAAAGTAGCTTATGTCCTTGGAAAACTCTGTGTTCATCTTTCAGGCTGGGATGTTGGGGAAATGGGGCCTGCATTGGTTTTCTATTGCTGCTATAACAGATTACGACAAATTTAGTGGTTTAAAGCAACACATACTTATTATGGTACAGGTCTGCAGGCTAGAAGTCTGAGCGGGGGTCACCAGGCTAAAATCCGGGCTTCGATCACCAGGCTGCATTCCCTGGTGGGCCCTCTGGGGAAGAATCTTCCAGGCTCACACAGGTGTTGGCTGAGGTGAGTTCCCGGAGGTGGTAGACTTGAGGTCCTCTTTACTGGCCGGCCATCAGCCTGGCCAGTCTTCACTCCCAGGTGCTGCTGTGTTCCTTCTCTTGCCGGCCATGAGGCGTTTCCAGTAGCCTCTCTCTGGTCCCGTATGTGGCCTCTACATCTCAGAGCCAGCACTGGCATGTTGGGTCCCTCCAGTGGCTTCAAATCTCTCCCCTTCTGCCAAATCTTCCCTCTTCCCAGCTGGGGAAAATTCCCTACTCCTGGATCAGATGGACCCACCCAAATAATTCAGGATAATCCCCTTCTCTTAAGGTGGTGACCTCAATCACATCTGCAAAGGCCATTTTGCCATATAAGCTAACCAGTTCATGGATCCCCAGGATTCAGGTAGAAATATCTTTGGGGAGCCTTTCTGCTGACCCCAGAGACAGACTGACCCTCAACTCGCAGTTGGGCTATCACCTTCCCAGTCCCTGTGGACCCTGCCATTCCAGGGTGCCACTGAGTTGGGTCTGGGCACTCAGGCAAGGCCTCCCCATTTCCCTGGAGTCACACTTCTGAGCCCACACAGTGAGCAGGCTTGGGCCATCCTCTGCCTCTGGCCTCCCCCATTGGCATCTGGTTTTCTCATTATCCCCACACAGACCGATTAACCAGGCCATCCTTCAGGGCAGGTTTCCTGGGCTCCCAGACCTCAGGCCAAAGCAGAATGGACGGGGAGGGGTGGGGGGTGTGGGAGAGGGGGGCAGGCTGAGGCAGGGCCCTGCCCTATCTCCAAGGGCCAGGAGGCCTTGGACTTGGTTGGCAACCTCCCAGGACATTCTGGAACCCAGAGCCTGCAGAGGTCTCCAGAGTGAGAGAAGAGGAAGGCCCCCTTCCCCTCCCTCTACTCTCCAAGTGTGCCTGGGCTGGGCTGGTCCATGACCCCCCTCTGGATGCCTTCCCACCCTCTTCCAGGATATATCCCCCGGGGCTCACTCACAGGGCCTCTTTTATCTAAAGCCAGGCACTCCAGACAACAAAATAAGTCCACACGGGGCTTCAGTGGCAAAAAAGCAGCAAGTGACACACCCAGAAGATCCAGCTGGCTGTACAAAGCGCAAGCGAGAGGGTCACCTGGAATCCTCCATCCAGGCAGGGTTGCACCCTGCACTGCCTCCACCAGAGACCCCAGAGCTTGCTAAACACGCAGATGCCCAGGACCCACCCCAGACCTACAGGATCTCCTGAGGGGTGGGATTGGGTGCTGGCACGTCTAGAAGCTCCTCACATAATTCTGATACAGTTAACGTTTGAGACTAACCTTCTCCCTCCCATTTTACAGAGGAGGAGACTGAGGCCCGGACTCAGCCAAGGACACAAAGCAAACTAGTGGCAGTCAGACTAAATCCTTCTCTCTTGCCTTTATCCAATAGTTAAAGTCAGGCAGTCTGAATGTTGATGGCCCCAAACCCACAAGTTTTGAAAACGTGTTGCTTTCCTGGCACCTCTTAAGTAACTAAAATAACATATACCTCCTCTGCAGCATCTGGTAAATGATCAGAGAATGTCCCACTCAAACGTGATTCTCAGCACATCCCTCGAATCAGGAAATGAATCCCACTAATCACTGTTCTCTGTATTACTGCTTGCTTGTTTGTTTTCCGTGGAGAGGCACATAATTAAAGCAAGCAGAACAAACAGAACAAGAATTGGCACTGATGCCAATGTAGCAACCCACTGCACGGCTCCTGGAGCTGCCTTTGTCTACCTCTGATTCTCCATCTCTGGGGCTGCTCGCCTGGAAATTTGCAGGGCACAGCCAGAGTTCATGAAGTTTAGGAAGAGGGGTTGGCCAAGCTGACCTCATTCTCTTGTTCACCAAGCCGCATCCTGCTTCTCAACCCCAGCTTATCTGCCAGGGAGGATTCCTTCATTCTTCAGCTTCCCAGATGAAGGCTTTGTCCCATTTGTGCTTTACCTTCTAAGACTGCTGACACGTCTCTGAATCCTGTTGCTTCTTGTGGCACGTCTTTAACTCACCTCTTCCTCCGTTCCCACTGGCAGTATCCTGGTCCATTGCTCAGAGCCTCGCGTCAGATTACTGGGACACTTGCTTGGCAGGTCTCTCTGCTTCTGGCCTCTGTGACTTGCTGTTCACCCCACATGGGAAGCTACCAGCTTTCTCCCTGAAACACCCATGTATAATGTTGCTCACCTATTGAAAAACCTAAAGTGCTTACGCATCTCACATAAGTCCAACCCCTCTGCACAGGACTCAGGCTCACGCACCCACCCAAACTTAGTTCCCCCAGTGCACCAACCAGCAACAATACTCTTCACTGCCCCTTGCTCAGTGTCTATAAAATCTTTATAAACTGGTAATTATTATAATCTGCTAATTTCACATCCTCCACAGACACAACAGAGTACAAGAAAGATGAAAAATTCTCAGTGAGTCATTGTTGCATGACTAATCATGAGTAAGGGTCTTTCATGGCATCAGCAGAGAGTGCTTTTTTCTGAGACCTTTTTGTTCTCAACCTAATAATGTATTTATTTAACTTAAGTCTAGGACCCTAACAAACGGCTGTTTTCATCTCCCAATAGTGTAAGTGGAGCTCAGTAAAGTGCTAACTAATCTTGTATATTTGCCAAGCTATGAAAGCAACCCCTCCAGCTGGGTGTAGTAGCTGAGGCAAATTTGGAAACCAGAATGGCAGCTCAGAATCCCCTCTGGTTTCTGAGTTCTTCAAATGGTGTTTTGTTTTGTTTTGTTTTTAAGTCAACTCATGGTTTGCTTCAGTTGGGAATCTGTTTATGTGCATTTCTGTTAAGCAAGGTAAGCCAGGGTTCATTCATTCATTCGTTCCTGAGACTCAGGATTCTGCTAAGCCAATTTCCGTCCCACAACAAATCTGTACTTGTCAAAAAAGCCTCAAACACCTTACAGAGCTAATAATTTTTCAAATTTTTATGAGCCCCACAGAGAAGATTTATGTTAAGCTGCTTGACAAGGAACAATAGAGTGTACAGGTCCCGGGAACATTCTGTTGAAACAAATGTTGTCAAGACATCAATACTTTTATAGCATTTTTCATAACGAACTTTCACACTTGCTCATTTCCCTAATTATCCCTGAGACGTTTACACTCAGAGAGAATGAAAATGGATTTTTTTTTTAAATTGGTAATTTGAAAAATTAGCTGCTATATAAAGAAAAATACACGTTCAGGCACAGTCATTGCTAAAAATATAGTCTCGAGATAGCTGCTCACAAAGAGAGATACTAAGTTGTTATGGCAACGATGATTATAATTACGAAGCTGGAGGGTTTTTCCCGTTCATCACTCTGTTGAGATGTGGTAGTTTAAATGGCAGTGTCCTTTGTAATGTCCTCAATCTCATTACTACATAATCACCCATTTCATATTTAATTTTCAACATGTTTGTTGTCACTCCTAGACTCCATAGATTTGGCATCTTTTGATAAGCTTCATTCTTAGTTCATGGGTCCCATACCCTTGCAGCTCATTTTCTCTCCTCAGTATTGCCTCTGCTCTGTGATTTCATTTTTAGTTTGACCTGGGGAAACTTGCTTTGGCTTGAGATATTCCATTTGTAAACAATAAGATGCTGTTGTCAAAACTGTTAAGAAATCATACCAACAGACACTTGGGGAGACATTGAACTCAGATTAATCAGAGGCTGCCCAGTATCCCTGGAGATACAGCATGTCTTGGTCACCTACTATGTACAGGACAATTTGTAGATATGATCACATCTAACCTTTGTGCTGATTTCTCTCTGTGCATCCGTTCCCATCTCTATACCCCTCGGTCGTCTGCAACCTAAAAGCTGACCCTTGTGGAATGAACATCCTTGCCCTCTGGTTTCTGATTGGTTATGGTCAATAAGAGGTGTCAGTAGGAGGTAGGAGGGGTGGGGGAGAGAGATCTTGGTACTACTCCTTCCC